TGATATATAACAGGAACATCTTATATTCATTTATTAACTAAAAACCCAAAAAACACAGATTCACATCACTATTTTAAAAATTACAATACAGATTAGGAACTCGAAGAGAAAAAAGGCAAAAGAACATGTCATTCTGGCATAAGAATGAACTTCAACACTTTTTTCACTTCTTTTCCCAAGTCCAAGAGCAAAACCATGCGGGTTCAGGCTCAAAGTGGACAATATCATACCATGTGGTAGAGTGGGTCGTTACACACTCTGTCTTCTGGTCCCTAGAAAATTTTGTTGATCAACTTCGGTGTAGCCAATTGATTCCCTCACACCAGCCTGCCTGCTCATTAACTCAAATGCATTACCAAGCGGAACTCCAAATTGGCAAGCCAATTCCACATCAATTGCTTGGGCAACACTTATTCTTCATTGTGATGGCATCATATGTGTGCATTCTTGAATTATCATAGGATGATTGTGAAATTCTACAAAATTATATGCAACATATTTTCCCTTCTTGCGGTCATCTCTAATTTGCATTAGTGCACCACAACCGGTTCGAGTTTAAGCCCTGGGCTTTCTTGTATAGATATTACTCTTGTCCTTCACCCTAAAACCATGTTTGGAACACACAAACTTGCTTGTTGTAATATTTCCTATCTTACGGCTTTTATTTGCATAATTCTTACGAATACTGAATCCAACTTTACCCCCATAAGCATTGTAAAAGTTGTATGCTTCATCCTTAGTGTCAAACTGCATATTCAATTTTTGTGTGAATTCTATCTCAATGGGATTGACAACTTCTGGTGCTAAGTTTTAGGTAATATTGATTTCAACAACGATTGGAATGCTTGTTCTCACATCATTAGTACTTAAGTCGTCGTCCATTGTGATAACTTAAGTATGAATGCTACAAGAAGCAAATGGTCCATCAGAAGGTTAAAGTCAATTGCTATAACTTGTGACAACAAAAAAAAAAAACTAAACATTTACCGAAATAATGAAAAGGGGCAAAAAAATAAGAGTACCTAACAAAAAATAGAGTGTCCAAAAAAATATTTAACTACCATGGTTGAAGTTATTTGGGGTAACTTTAAAAATAAATTAACAAACTTTGGTATTATTTGCCATTTGCTCACTCACCACTTTCACCCTCAAAATAATGTATTCATATAGTGCCGAATAAAAAATGTCACACATAAATATAAGTCAATTGAACATATTATTATGTTGTTATTTCAAAACTGGCCTGAGGAAATTCATCAATTATTTCATATCTTGCCATTACTTAGTCAACATATTTAATACAATGAAAGCACAGTATGATAGCCTTCAAAGCAATGTGGAATGTGTGCAGGGAACATAGAGCATTTATATCTTAGCCATTGACTAGTAACTCCAATTTTTTGGCCTACCTTTATGTGTGACATTAGTTAGTAAGCACTATGTGAATATCATATTTTGACGGTGAAGGTGATGTTTTAGGTTACATTTATGTGTGACATTAGTTATTCAGCACTATGTGAATACCTTATTTTGATGGTGAAGGTGATCAGTGTGCCAATTTATTAAACTTCGCAATGATTTTTTTGCTCATAAATATTAAAATAATAAACTGTGAAATGTGTAATTGCCGAATACATTTAATACCAAAATTTTTGGATAAAACAATTGGTACCTAATGAAACCAAGTCAATTCAAAAAATCAATTATGAAAAATTTTAGATTCACTAGAATGTTTATTGAAGATTATAAAAGAAAACCCTACAATTATCCAAGATTTCAGATTCACTAGAATGCTTAACCAATGTCAATTTCAAGTAAAAAGTATCATAATTTACATTAACAGATGACAAATGAAATAATCATAAATTCTTACATTTATGTGTAACATTAATTATTCAGCACTATGTAAATACCTTATTTTGATGGTGAATGTGATCAGTGTGCCAATTTATTAAACTTCGCAATATTTTTTTTCTCACAAATATCAAATAATAACATGTGAAATGTGTAATTGTCGCATACATTTAATACCAAATTTTTTGGATAACACATTGGTACCTAATGAAGCCAACTCAGTTCAAAAAATCAATTATGGAAGATTTTAAATTCACTACAATGCTTATTGAAGATTATAAAAGAAAACCCTACAATTATCCAAAATTTCAGATTCACTAGAATACTAAACCAATGTCAATTTCAAGTAAAAAATATCATAATTTACGCTAACAGATGAGAAATAAAAGAATCATAAATTCTTACATTTATGTGTGAATACCTTGTTTTGATGATAAAGGTGATCTGTGTGCCAATTTATTAAACTTTGTAATATTTTTTTTTATTTAATAAATATCAAATAATAACCTGTGAAATATGTAATTGCTGCATACATTTAATACCAATTTTTTGGATAACACATAGGTACATAATGAAGCCAACTCAGTTCAAAAAATCAATTATGGAAGATTTAAGATTTACTAGAATGCTTATTGAAGATTATTGAAGAAAACCCTACAATTATCCAAGATTTTAGATTTACTAGAATGCTTAACCAATGTCAATTTTAAGTAAAAAATATCATAATTTATACTAACAGATAACAAATCAAAGAATCATAAATTCTTACATTTATGTGTGACATTAGTTGTTCAGCATTGTGTGAATACCTTATTTTGATGGTGAAGGTGATTAGTGTGCTAATTTATTAAACTTTGCAATGTTTTTTTCCTCATAAATATCAAATAATAACCTGTGAAATGTGAAATTGCCGCATACATTTAATACCAATTTTTTTGGATAACATATTGGCACCTAATGAAGCCAACTCAGTTCAAAAAAATAATTATGGAAGATTTTAGATTCACTAAAATGCTTATTGAAGATTATAGAAGAAAATCCTACAATTATCCAAGATGTCAAATTTACTAGAATGCTTAACCAATGTCAATTTCAATTAAAAAATATCATAATTTACACTAGCAGATGACAAATAAAAGAATTATAAATTCTTACATTTATGTGTGACATTAGTTATTCAGCACTATGTGAATACCTTATTTTGATGATGAAGGTGATCTGTGTGCCAATTTATTAAACTTCGCAATGTTTTATTTCTCATAAATATCAAATAATAACTTGTGAAATGTGTAATTGTCGCATACATTTAATACAAAATTTTTGGATAACACATTGATACCTAATGAAGCCAACTCAGTTCAAAAAATCAATTATGGAAGATTTTAGATTCACTACAATGCTTATTGAAGATTATAGAAGAAAACTCTACAATTATCCAAGATTTCAGATTCACTAGAATGCTTAACCAATGTCAATTTCAAGTAAAAAAATATCATAATTTACACTAACAGATGACAAATAAAAGAATCATAAATTCTTACATTTATGTATAACATTAGCTATTCAGCACTGCGTGAATAACTTATTTTAATGGTGAAGGTGATATGTGTGTCAATTTATTTAACTTCGCAATATATATATATTTTTTTCTAATAAATATCAAATAATAACTTGTGAAATGTGTAATTGCCGCATACATTTAATACCAAAATTTTTAGATAACACATTGGTACCTAATGAAGCCAACTCAGTTTAAAAAATCAATTATGAAATATTTTAGATTCATTACAATACTTATTAAAGATTATAGAAGAAAATCCTACAATTATCCAAGGTTTCAGATTCACTAGAATGCTTAACCAATGTCAATTTCAAGTAAAAAAATATCATAGTTACACTAACAGATGACAAATTAAAGAATCATAAATTATTACATTTATGTGTGACCTTAGTTATTCAGCACTGTGTGAAGAACTTATTTTGATGGTGAAGGTGATCTGTGTGCCAATTTATTAAACTTCGCAATATTTTTTTTCTAATAAATATTAAATAATAACTTGTGAAATGTGTAATTGTTATATACATTTAATACCAAAATCTTTGGATAACACATTGGCACCTAATGGAATCAACTTAGTTCAAAAAATTAATTAAGAAAGATTTTAGATTAACTACAATGCTTATTGAAGATTATAGAAGAAACCCCTACAATTATCCAAGATTTCAGATTTACTAGAATGCTTAACCAATGTCAATTTCAAGTAAAAAATATCATAATTTGCACTAACAGACGACAAATGAAAGAATCATAAATTATTACATTTATGTGTGACATTAGTTATTCAGCACTGTGTGAATACCTTATTTTGATGGTAAAGGTGATCTGTGTGCCAATTTATTAAAATTCGCAATGTTTTTTTTTTTTTTTTTTTTTCTCATAAATATCAAATAATAACTTGTGAAATGTATAAGATTATAAAAGATAAGCCTACAATTATTCAATATTTCAGATTCACTAGAATACTTAACCAATGTCAATTTCAAGTAGAAAATATCATAATTTACACTTAAACAAATGAAAAAATCATAAATTCAGTTCTAAATTTACAATGTTCAGTTTAAAACAAAAATTTCACTGTATTTTAAACAATACTATTAAATGTACAATATTAATAACATGTATTAAGACTTAGCAACCATTAACATTAGTTAGGTTAATTGTAGATACCAGCTCAAGTCCATTGTAAATTTCTTTCCTGTAGATGAAGAGGAGAATCTTATTGAAGAAATCACCAATTTCTGGAAGGAAATCATTGTAATCTGGGTTTTGATTCAAAAAAAAGAAATAAAAAAGTAAAAATAGAGGAGGAGGGAGGAATTAGGTTTTGAATAAAAAAGGAATTCAAAAGTAAAATGTTTTTGATGGAAAAAAGGAGAGATGAATTAGGATTTGGATTAAATAAATTAAAAATAAATAATGGAACAAAATCAAAAGGGAATGAGAGAAATAAGAAAATAAAAAAAGAAGAAAGGAAAAGTGAAGAAGCAGGGGTGCCAAAATGATGTGTTTTTTTAACTTTTATTTTTTTTTTAAATTGTGTCAAGCCAAACATAACATTAAGCATTGCCCTGTAAGTGACCGCAGTGTGGGTTACGGACAGCAAAGGGTTTGCGCCCGTAGCGAAACCAAATTTCTTCTCGGGATCTAGACCCATGTGGATCCCACTTTGTTTAAAGATAATTTTCCTTTATAAGTCCACTTAGATGTCTCAGTTCTCGCTTGTCAGGCGCAATCACATTTTCGCTCCGTGTTCAACGCTCTACGAGACTACGACGATCAAAAACAGTGAACTACGCACCTGAAACTGCGAGAGGCAGTCGTCTACGGCATGAAGCTCATCTTCTCTCTTCTCTTTCTCTCTCTAAAATTTTCCTATTTTTTCAACCCTACGATTGCGAGAGGCGGCGAACAAAACTCTAATCATTCAGGTCTCGTTCTTCACTTCAATTTCTTCATATATATATACACACACACACACACTTACATTTGTTTGGTTGTTTGATAAGAACCAACGAAAAAAAGAGAAACTCAAAATTATTAGCTTCACTTCATATCTTGTTTTGTTGTTTTTATAGTCTCCATTTGTTTCGACGGAAATAAATTCCTAATCCAATATTCTGGGATTATTATTTTTTTCCTTAAGCCTCTTAATTGATATATTACCTTGAAGCTGAGAAAAAGCAATCATGAATCCTTTATATTTGCTACTGGTTATATAGATACTAGAATTATTCTTTTCTTCTTAGAAAATATTTTTTTGTTAACATTTTTAAAGATAGACTAACTTATCAAAAAAAAAAAAAAAAAGATAGACTAGGAAGTTAAGTCAAATTAACGCCTGATAAGTGGAGTTCAGCAGAATTTTATGTGTAGTATCATTTCATTGTTTTTGGAAATTTTATTTTTACAAACTGTAGGACCTTTGATTTGACTGCTTTGACAAATAATTTTGATATAGATTTGGGAGAACGATTAATGATCATTGTCCTACAGCGTTTGCTGATTATATTTGTGTTGATTGTGTATATTTAGTAGGTTTCTTAAAGAATAGTTTTGCAGGTTTGGGGAGGCACTTGTTTGAGGAAAACCGCTTTCAGAAACTGTATTGTTGAATCTTTCCCACTTTTGCTTTCAGTTTCTTAACATTTTTTAGTCTCAAATTTGTCATTAAGTTCTGTAAAATGTTATGAATTTCTGTTGTAGTGATAACTTAGCTCGTGGGTACATGAGTAATTCTGATCTTGAGAAGGCCATCAAGGCATTCGATCGGAGGTGTGCCAACGTATCCAGGATATACAGGTGACTCATGAGATATTAAGTTTTGCTTATGAGCCACTACAATAGAGTTTCAATGCATTTTTATATGATTATAAGGACGACTCATAGAATTGATATGGGGATCTGGTGCTGCTTTATTTTGAATCAATATTTCATATTATATATAATTTTGTTTAAACTTTAAAGCATGCTGTTTTAATTATTCTGACTTAATTTTTCTCTCTCTCAATGAGGGATTTTTGGAATCTTCAAATAGTATAGGAAAGAGCATCCAAGGAGTTCCTCTGGTAATCCTTTTGCTAAGCTAGTGCAGTACTTCATTATATAATCTTTTACTTCCCACTTCCCCCTTTGGACCTACAAATTACACATTGCTAAGTGGGTGTTGTATGCTTTCTTGATTATAGTGGGTGATGGAAATTTCTGACAAGCCAGGGGAGGAAGAGGCAGAACCTTCTTTCAAGGTAACTAATCCTCTATGCAAATGCTGCACCCTTTTTCGGAAGCTAATAAATTCTCTATTTTTTTTTTTTTTTTTTTCATAAATGGGGTGTTTTCATTTCAAAGATGAGAATTCAGTACGGGAGAAAAGTAGAGGCATTCCTCCATATTGACATAATACAGAAAGAACTAAATAGAAAAACACCATTTCCAATAAACATGAAAGGAAATGATGAAGAGAAAAATAGTTAGCCTAGGACTATGTAGACAAGTCATTGAGAGATAGGAGAGCTAATATATCTAAAACTTCCAAAATAACAGACCTAGCTACATCCAAGAAACTATGCTTGCAGCCTTGAAGTAATTTGTTGTTCCTCTCTTTCCATATAGCCCTGAATGAAGGAGCTATAATCATGGAGAAAGTCTTAGAAGTGTTAGCTTTCTGTTCACACCAGGTAAGGAAGCCAATAAATTCTTCACATACAAATTATTATCTTTTCTTACCCCCACCAAAAAAGTAAAAAAAAAAAAAAAAATAGAGATCTCCTAAGAAATGCACATTTGACTTTGTTTTATTAGTAGCCTCATTTAATTAATGTTTTATAAATGAAACTGATTAGTAACTGGAACAACATTGCTCCACATGTTGAATGGTTCAATCATCTCCCAACTGTAGAGTTGTTAAATCAAGAAGGATAATTTTTTTTTTTAAAAATATAATATGTTGGAGAATATTATTATAGAAACCCTTAATTTACTCCTTGACAGAATATTGGTGTGAGAATATCATATAGAATATGGGATTCACTGGAGTAATATATGGGATTGATTTTAAGAATCCTCCATTAACGTATTTTCCATATTTATCACGTGTATCCTTTCACCTATAAATATAGGTGATCATTGTATACAAAAATCAAGAGAGAATATAGTGAAAGAGATGTAGCCCAATGGGCTTTATGTGTCGTGTTCTTCATGTTTAACTTCAACTTTTATATTTTTTAACATGGTATCAGAGCAGGTTTATCATACCCTACTTTATACTTTACTCGTCTTGGATCTACGAATCAACTTGTCTCGGATCTTAGGATCAACTCGTCAAGGATCTCAGCATCAACTGATATTGGATCTTTGGATCAACTTGTCTCAGATCAACTGATTTTGGATCTTCAGATCAACTCATCTTAGATCTCTGGATCTGCTCGTCTCATACTCAACAATTTCGTATTTGGTTTTAAGAAAATCTCCATGCTTCGACTTGGGTGAGGGGGAGAATATTATTATAGAAACCCTTAATATACTCCTTGATATAATATTGCTGTGAGAATATTATATAGAATGTGGGATTGATTTTAAGAATCCTCCATCAATGTATTTTCCATATTTACCACTTGTATCATTTCACCCATAAATATAAGTGATCATTGTAGACAAAGATCAAGAGAGAATATAATGAAAGAGATGTAGCCCTATGGGCTTTGTGTGTTGTGTTCTTCATGTTTAATTTCTCTCTTCAACTTTTAAGCTTTTGGAGTAGATGGTTATTAAAATGGTATTAGAGTCAAAGGTCTCGATTTTATCGTCACCCTAATTAAAAAATTAAGCTTTTGGAGTAGATGGTTGTTAACATAATAATATTAAAGTTTCTCAAGAATCATCATTAACTTTTCAATTACCCAATGAGAATGCTGTACCATATTGTTGTTACACATGATATCTTGGAAAACTTGAAATGTTACGTAACTATTGTAATCATTATAAATGTCCACAACATAAGTGCAACTATATACCCATTGCTTCTACATCAAGTAAGTAACAATTTTGAGTTAATAGAATATTACTTTGAAGAAATTATCATTTCTATATGTATCGAGTAAGAAGCACTTGATATCCGTATTTTGCTTTATTTTTCATGCTTCAGGTGTTTTAAAAAATTACCAGATATCCACACAAGCTTTTTGTTGTAAAGTATAGTATGAGCTGTCACACGTGTACAGTTAGATTACATTGTATTCTAGGGTTTACTAGAGTTTTCTGTATAATGTAGCCGCCTTCACCAACCCCTCATTACCATATATAACATTACTATGTATAGGGTTTATTTGCTCTCCACTCTCCTACTCTTGTAGCTTCTCTTATATAAACCTATTGTATTACTGTATTATATACTCAATAATATGGATGTTTTCATATACTCTCTCTCTTTCTCTCTCTCTCTTAACATGGTATCAGAGCGGAAATCGATCTCTCTTTATTATTTATTTATTTTTACAGTCTTATTCAGATCTCCTGTTCCAAACTATTCCATAACCAAGCCATAATCTGAGCATCTTCTTTCTCCCAAGCCTCAATAATCTTTTCATCGGTAATGGGTTTGGTTGATCGAAGATGATATAAAGCCCATAAGAAAACCTCTATGACAACAATCGAAGGTAGTTTGAGCCTCTCAGTTTGGTGTTGGTGAATGACCCAAGAAGATGAGAGTCCTTGATATCCATTGGGGGGCTACCAAACAAGAGAGAGATAGGAGCGAGAGGGAACCGAGATGGGAGAACCAAGATCAAGCCGAGATGAACCCAAGAGAAATTGTCAAGGAGAGATCCGAGAGAGGTTGCCGAGACGAGAACCGAGATTACTGAGGAAAGATTGCTGAGAAAAGATTGCTGAGAGAAAGCTGAACGTGTCATTCTTAGAATCTGCCAAAGAAATCTGTGAAAATCTGAGGGACATGTATTCGTCAGACACGAATATTTCTCGTATTTATCAATTGTACCAGGACAGATTTAATTTCCAGTATGGAGATCGTTTTGTTGAAGATTATTGCTTAGAACTGAAGGGTATGTGGGAAGATTTGAATCTTTACCAACCATTGAGTGCAGACATAAAACAATATAAACGGCATAGGAGTTTTGGGTGGCGAAATTTTTATCTGGAGACTAGACTTAAACCTAAACTCCCTACGATCAGTTCACAAATTTTGTTTGGCAAGGAAATACCCACAGTGAGTGAAACTTTTGCTCGAGTTCGAAGAGCATCTATTCATGCCCCTGTGATTCAGAAGGAAAACCACTCTACGACATGATACTTCCCATGGAGGTTGACGGGGGCAGAGGTCCTTCCAACCTAGGCTATGGTACTCATGATGGTAGAGGGGGTCGCAGCTGGAAGAAGTGTACCCATTGTGGCCGAAACAATCACTCTGTTCACATCTACTTCTGCTGGGCGCTTCATGGCAGCTTGGGCTAATCAGGCTTCGGTACAGGGGGAGACTACTCCTACTCTTGTGAAAGAACAACTGGTTCTCTCCAAAACCTAGGCTCTGTTTTTCAATCCTTTTATGCTGAAATTCAAAAATCAGTTTGATGCTAAATTACTTGTTCTTAGAAGTGACAATGCCTTGAATATAAAGTTAATATTTTTCAAACGTTTTTTGAGTTGAGGGGCATTATCCATCAAACATCGTGTGTTGTTGAGAGGTCGCGCTAGGGACTTAATTGGATTGAGGTTGATTGGTCTTTGTCGGAGGCAGTATGAGGTGGAGTTCCATTTTTACACAGAAAAAGAGGCAACTAAAGATATGAGGCAAGCGAAGCGTATAAAGCAATCTTCAGTCTCAAAATTGAGGGGCACCATCCATCAAACATCTTGTGTTGATACCCCTCAACAAAGTGGAATTGTTGAACGAAGACCATTCCTACCTATCGCTCATGCCTTAACTATTCAAATGCATGCTCCAAAACATTTTTGGGCAGATGCGGTTTTGGTTGCTGCTTATCTTTTAAACAGCATGCCTTTTAGGGTCTTTTAAGGAAAATCACCCTTCCAAGTGATGTTTCCAAATGATGTTTTTTGGATTTTGCTGAGAACTTATCGTTGTAATGACGCTTTTTGCGTATTTTGTTTGCTTTGTTAAGGGTTCGCTCCCCTCTGAGCTTTTTTGTTAATATATTTTTACTTATAAAAAAAAAAAAAAAAAAAAAAAAAGAGGTCCCCTTTTTCTATTCCTCCTAAGGTGTTTGGGTGTGTCGCTAAAGACGAGACAAACTTGATTCTTGTGCCCACAAATGCATTTTCTTAGGTTATTCTCGCACTCAAAAGGGATATAAATCTTATAGTCAACTCTTCGTAAACAATTTGTGTGTGCAGATGTAACTTTCTTTGAGGATGCTCCTTATTATTCCCAGGAAGACAGTCGTTTTGAGAACTCCGTTCTTTAAGAGTCTGTTCTTCCAACTCCAATTTTTGATTCTGACTTCCCACCGGCTCTTTGTGTCTATACTTGTCGCCGAAAACGAGTAGTTAATCATGTTCATACGATTGAAATAGTAAACCCAGCCTTGCCACTTCCACGAGTCGCTTCAATGCCTGGAGATTCTTCCATCTCTCCGGACTATGATCTTGATCATCCTATTGCTCTTCGGAAAGGTAAAAGGTCTTTGTATTGCTGGGATCGTCGCTAATCAACCAATGCTCGGTGTGATAAAATGTGGCCAAGTTTAAATTTGTAAAATGCCACTACCACTACTAACTACTAATGTAGCAAGAGTGAGTAGGGATCGTCCCAAGGGACAAGCAAGGTATTTCGGAATCAATGTTGGATTAGTAGGTCGAATGATCAAAAGAGGGTTTTGTTGGTTGAGTTATACTACAATTTAAGCTAAAGTAATGCAATGTAAAACAACTAAACAAATGAGGTGTAGAGAATGAGAGAGGGTTCTTGGGACATAGAGTTCACCACTAAGCCTTGCCTTTCTAGACAATATTCGCCTGCAAAGTACCCAAAGTGGATAAAACTTTCTCTTCAAATGCGGGACTTCTTGAGTTACCTTGAGAATATGATGATTGGTTTAGAAAATGAGAGTTGGAAAATTGGTTTCTATTTTACGCTTGGTAAGATGAATGATAACCTTGGGAACCTTGGCTTTGCATAGGGGGTGGAACATACTTGCTTTGGAAACCACTTTGGGGAGGGTTTGAGCCTTCCCCTTGGCTTTTCCAAGAGAAATTTGGATGGTTCCTCCAC